AACTGATTATTTATATATAAATATAGATTTATATATATACATGATAAAAATTTATGAAATATAACTATCTAAAATAATAATAATAATACAACCAATTTTATCTATTTTAAATAAGGTAACTAAAATTTAAAAGAAATATTATTTTTAATAATAATATTGAGAATATTGTTATGTAAAAATATTAGGATATTACAATTCTCCCCTACTTATAGAAATTTCGTTCTCGAAATTTTTATTGCCTAAGAATAAATAAGGGTAGTTTTCCCTGATTCTTTCTTCCAATTCCCACGTAGCATCTCCAGTAACATCATTCCAGATGACCTTTACCAGTGAAATTTGTTTGCCTCTCAACTGCTTGATCCTCCTGTCTGTGATCTGTACAGGCATTGTTTCAAATGTAAGGTTATCCTTTAACTGTACTGTATCAGGCATTATTACATGAGATGGATCAGAAATATATTTTCTTAATTGAGACACATGAAAAACATTATGAAGATTAGAAAGAAAAGGAGGTAGAGAAATTTGGTAAGCAACAGGACCTATTTTTCTGAGGATTTGATAAGGACCAATAAATCGAGGGGTGAGTTTCTTTGATTTCATTACCCTACCAATTCCAGTTGTTGGTGTAACTTTCAAAAATACATGATTACCTTCCTGAAATTCAAGAGGTCGTCTTCTTTTATCAACATAACTTTTTTGTCTGCTTTGAGTCATTCTCAATTTTTCTTGAATCATTTTGATCTTTTCCGTGGTTTGTTGCACCAATTCAGGGTCCAAGATTAAATTTTCTCCTATCTCAAACCAACACAAAGGAGTTCTACACCTTCTCCCATATAGAGCTTCATAGGGTGCCATACCTATGCTAGTGTGAAAACTGTTGTTATATGTGAATTCAATCAAAGGCAGATATTGATCCCAACTACCCAAATCTTCTAGCACACAAGCTCTCAATAAATCTTCTAAGGATTGTATGGTTCTCTCTGATTGTCCATCTGTTTGGGGATGATATGTAATCATTTTGATCTTTTCCGTGGTTTGTTGCACCAATTCAGGGTCCAAGATTAAATTTTCTCCTATCTCAAACCAACACAAAGGAGTTCTACACCTTCTCCCATATAGAGCTTCATAGGGTGCCATACCTATGCTAGTGTGAAAACTGTTGTTATATGTGAATTCAATCAAAGGCAAATATTGATCCCAACTACCCAAATCTTCTAGCACACAAGCTCTCAATAAATCTTCTAAGGATTGTATGGTTCTCTCTGATTGTCCATCTGTTTGGGGATGATATGTAGAGCTAAGGCGAAGCTTACTTCCTAATGCTTGATGTAAACTTCCCCAAAATTTAGTCTCCCATATAGAGCTTCATAGGGTGCCATACCTATGCTAGTGTGAAAACTGTTGTTATATGTGAATTCAATCAAAGGCAGATATTGATCCCAACTACCCAAATCTTCTAGCACACAAGCTCTCAATAAATCTTCTAAGGATTGTATGGTTCTCTCTGATTGTCCATCTGTTTGGGGATGATATGTAGAGCTAAGGCGAAGCTTACTTCCTAATGCTTGATGTAAACTTCCCCAAAATTTAGAAG